ATCAGATCCCACAAATCTTTATTGTTACAATTTCTGTCTTTTAGATGAGCAATTTTTTTCATAATTTGAAACTTTTGTTCATTTTTCTTTTTTTTAATCATTTTTCGTAGTTTTTTCGTTGTCTTATAGTATACCTGTCTCATGTTTAATCCCTTTGGATTTGCTTTCATCACTTTCCCTAAACAATTAACTTCATTTCGTAGTTCACTACATGTCTTATCAAACCATGGTTTATGTTTGCGTTTACATTTGGATGCTGATATGACCTTCAGTGAAGATTCACCAGCACTCACTAAAATATGTGTTAACTTATTTATGTTACAATTCAAATCTATGCTATTATCATTCATTTGATTAATTAATGAGTCTAATTCTAATTTAATATTTCCGCTACTTAATATGTTTTGAAATAAGCCACTTGATCTATCACTCCAAACAAATTTATCTACTAAATTTTGTATCTTATGTTTCATATTACAAACCTTACTGGTAGTTGTCTTCAGACTTATAATTAGAGAAATATATATATATTAAATATATCAGTACTACATGTAGATCTCTCTCATATTTGTTCATTTAATGATGATATCTTCAATTCTCTAATTTTGATGAATATTTTTGTTATTTTTGTTAAAAATTGATATTTTCGACTTATTGCTTTGATACTATACATATTGTTCATTTTCTAACAATATCTTCAGTTCTTTAATTAAAATGTGCATTGCTAACAGCAGAGCTATCTCAGCTGACAGGCTGCTTGTTTGAAAACAAATCATGCCTCTTTCCCATCAAAATCCAAGCCAAAAAATCTTACAACAACATCGGCAAATTTCTTCTGTCCTGTGCACAATAACATTAACATATTTAAATGGGCTATGGTAATTTGAACATGTTGGCATCATCCATCATTTTGATTGTATTGTATTGTATTTAAATTTTAGGCAGTCTACTTTTTAATCCAGCAAGAAAAAATGTATAAAATTTTAGATTAGCATCTGCAATAGTTTTAGGTGGTCCAACTGCCGGCATTGAAAGTCGGCATAGGCGGATTTTTCAATGAAAATACAAGTCCCCCAAAAATATCTGATGATAAATTTTTTGAACCCCAAATAAGGGCCCATCAGGGCGATTTTTCGGATGGGCGAATTTACGTTAATCCCACATATATTGAAACATTGAACTGCCAAATATTTTCCTCATGGTGCCAAGCTCTTTTCAAGCTGTAATTTTGTCTAAATTTTGTCTAAATTTAAAGTTAATTATACCATTTGTGAGTGTGACACTTCGGAAATGTTTCAACATCTTGACATACACTACATTGATCCTGAAAACTGCAGACATTCACAGTTATTCTCTTATTTGGAAGGGTTACCAAGCATGATACCTAACATTCACTTGTCTTTGTTTTTTTAGTTTGCATAAATAAAATATAAACATATAAATGTCATTTTTACATCAAAATAAGAGTTTTGTATGAAATTACTCATTGCCAATAAATTAGGAAAATTACATACACAGATAAAAAGTAATGTTATTTATTACTAGATCTACTTAGTATGTGCAATGTTTGTATTACAGACTAAGGTAATGTATTATTGCATGTCAAACATTATATTCAATTTATAAGCTTATACAATGTAGCCAGCTTTGTCATTGACTTTTGTTTCTAAACATTATTTATTTCTGCATACCAATGTTCTCATTATATATTTCGTTCTTCAGGTTACAACTCTTACATTGAATTGTGACAGCTTCCAATGACCCTTGACCCCTAACAGAATTTTTTCCCGTGATTACCACATGTTGAGTTGTTTTCTTCCCACACCATAGCTGTGGTATGTTTCCTCTTTCTTGTTAGCCTTGGGTGGGTGACACAACCTGCTGTTTGTAGACTCATTTCTGTATGTATGTATTATTAATTCTATTTTTATGCATAGGACTTATAATTACCTTGTTTTACATGGCAACATTTTATTGGAGCCCAACAGCTCAGAGCCAGCAAAAATTTCTGCAAACCATGCAGCTAGAACACAGTTTGGCTCTAAAGATCCTAAGGGTTGAACTCAAAATAGAATTGAGCCCTGACATGGCCCTGGCCCAGTAAATGATAACCCAGTATCAAGGGTACTATTCCAGCTCTACTATAAACCACAAGTGTATAAATGCAGAAAATCTCCTGTTAATTGCTGGTAGGAAATGTTGCTGTGTAAACCTAGCAGTTAATATCTAGATATCTTGTGCCAATTTAATAAATAAAGAAATCAAAATTGCATTCCACTTGTGTGTTTGACAGACGTTAGTTTTCTGGTAACGCAATTATATTTCATATTAAAAGTTTAAAGTTGTTATGATATACTCGACACTATCAATTTGTGCAGTTCGATAACTTGGGCATGAAATTCCACAATAGTCTGTGACTCACTCTTTTGATTGAAGACCCCAACATTTTGCGGTTTTCCCTGAATTGCGATTAAAATACAAATAAATATAATGTGCCTTTCCTGTACAGTAAATTGATTATCGTTTTCACTGTTCTCTCTGTATACATGGCAGGCAGAGCTGGTTTACATTACACAATAATGATCATGAAATAAGATCCTTATGGAATGTTTATATACACAGCTATATTTCTATCTTCCCCTAATTATTAAGTATCAACCACCCATATTGAATTTCCAAATTACATAAAGTCAACCAGCCATGGTAAAGGTTTTCATTGTGTAATTGTCTCCAAGACAAGATAGGGGAAGACATTTTTGTAACCATTAAATTGACTAATTTATTTAATTTCACCTATGTTAAAGTTTCCTATAAATTCATATTGCCCAAAAATTGGAAAGGCTAGAAATATAATAAATGAGAATATTTCAATTATTTCAAATGTCAGAAATGTAACAATCTTTTTTACACCGCTGTTGACAGTTGTTTTGTTTATAATCCTGGAATTCTAACTCCTGTTTTAACTCTACATAAAATACCCCGTTCTCTATACAGTTAATATCATCATCTGATACAAACTTTTTATTTGGTGTTGTAGATTGCTGGACCTGCTGGTTGTGGTAAAACCCAATTAAGTATCTTATACTGTGTCGAGGCACTATTTTCTGCTTCTACAGATGGCAAAGATGCTAGTGTTATATACATTGATACAGAAGGTGCATTTTCTGCTGAAAGGTTAGGTGAACTTTCTCTCTTTCTTTTCAGTTGATTTATAGCAAAGCTTTAATTCTTGGTTACTTTCCTTAGGAAAATATGAAGTAAGCTAAAAGTTTACCTCGAAACAATGCTATCCACTAAGACGTAGCAGCTTTTGGATTTATCATTGCTGGGACTAGAGGTGTAGCCATGTGCCTTGATTTCAGTAACAGTATGATGTATCAAACCTTTGACATTTTGTATTTTTCTAATACCCTAATGTTTGATTCACCCAGTATTTCAATAATATTGATCAAAAATTATAAACAATATCATTATACATTTGTTTCATCCATAATTTGTTATGTTATGAACACACAACAAATATGTACATTTTTGATAGAAATGTCAGTGAGAGACTTAAATTAAATAGCGCCCTCTATCGCCAGATAAGAAGTACTGTAAATAATTCTGCTTTTGACAAGAGGCCACCTGCTAATAGTTGATTATTAAAGATGTGTGTTAACACAAACATGATTTGTGTTTGTAACCTTGTTTCTTATTTTCCTGTCTGTAGATTAGTTGAGATAGCCCAGTGCAGATATCCAGACCATTTCTCCACAAATGAGGCACTGATTCATTTAACCAACCATTTGTTCATTTATCTAGAGACTACATGCAGCAGTCTTCTAAAAAGGTATATACACACTCTGGTAGATGCAATTGTTGCATCTCTATGTTAGGCAAAGAACAACCAAATCTCTGTTTCTCATTGCTGCCCACCTGCACCTGGAACATTTTTAGTCTTTTGGTTCAACAGCTGTGTGGATCGATATTTCAGAAACTATTTATTTCCTTTTTTAAACTGGGTGGGATAATAGCAATGAACAAAAATGGAGGTAGATGCAAATCGTACAAGATAATATACATTTTGTGAAGGTTGGCCTTTCTGCTCGTCGAATATTAAACACTTGGGTGAGCACACACAAGTACATGAATGCATGAAGTGTAGATTTTCAAGTATTTTTCCCTGCATAATTTAATTTCCAGTGTTATAAAACTCTCTCTCGTCCATGCTTTTGCATTTTTGGACTAACTAGTCAATATTTACAATTCTGGTGTTGGATTGTGGGCTGGGAATCATGTTAGGCTAAATAAATTACAGTTACAGTATTTCTGGGTACTTTTACATTGAAATAGATACTTGGTAGCCCCCCTCCCCTTACACTGTCTGAATATTACACTAAAGTGCCACACAATCCCAATACAGTATCTTTTCTCCTACGACTGCAAAACAAGTACATAAACATGGATGTTGCATTTGTGCCATGGACTACCAAACAACAAGCCATCATTTCTTCCAGCTGTATGCAGGAGTGTACACAAATAAATGCCTCGTCTCTGCTATACGTGAAACATTAAGTGGTTAACCATAAAAAAACCTAGGGGATAGATTTTTAATTCACTACTGCATAACTGTCCCAAAGAGTGATTGTATTGTTGTTGTTGTAATACAAAGTACAGTGTAGGACATTTGGCAAACTACAAAATTAAATGTGTAAGTTCCTGGTCATTACTAATGGAAAGAAGTTTAGTTTTCACAGTGAAAATGCCTTTCATTGAAATAAAAAATTCAGAGTTACTGTAGTTAGATCCACCATTTTTTCTAAGCTATATCAACAACGACCCTAAAAAAAGTCCACCTTCTTATATAATTCCATTGATATGAGAAACTGATTTTTTTTTTCTGGACTAAACTGTGCTGAGATTCTGTAGCGAATTATTAGTACCAGATTTAATGTATTTTCATTGAATATTAATTTCCGTAATACTTGATTAATTTATGATTATCCCTTATGGTCTATGTCATGTAAATGTTTGCACTTGATTTACTGATTGACC